ATAAGAAAATTTTAATAATGTTGATATATTTCATAATTTGAAAATTTTGAAAGAACTATTAGTAGTATTAGTATTTTAACAAAAAAAAAAAAAAAAATTGGCCATCATTTATATGATTTTTTTTCATGTATTATAATAATTTATTTTGTGCTATTATATGATTTTGTATATGCTTGATACCATATAAGGATGGAAGAGAATCTACCTTTGCCCTAATTAGCTTCCTTGATAATTTGTTGATTTCACAAGTACAAGGACAAGATTACAATAGCATTGATTCCCATCTTTTGTTTCATCCTTTTTTATATTCTTTGAAGATAAAATTTCATTAAATCCCTTTATTACTGCTCACCTTGAGAATATCTTTTTATTTTTTAATAAATTTAAAAATTTTAGAAAAAGGTTACCGCGTTAATAGACATGACTAGTAACTGGTACAAGCCAAACACTTTTGGAAAGACTTTAAATTTGTATCTAGTACAATCTTTTCTAAAATTTTTGACAACCTTATAATTTTTAATGTTTTTTTTTTCAATTTTTTGTTAATATATGTTGCATGGGATGGAGATTAGGTCAAGGGTATAGCGTATATATAGGCATATAGGCTTATCCAAAACTATAGCAATAAACAATGGCAACATTAGATAAGAATTGAAAGCTTTAAATGCTAAAGTTGCATGTGTTGCTTTCCTAGAAGTGGTTGTGAAGTGAGTTTCTTGATGAGGTGAAACAGTCAGACAAGTTTGACATTGGCAATATATGACTTAATGACTCAGTGACTTAATTAAGGTGGTCTCATCATTTATTTCTCTTTTAATTTATTATCATTATTTATTTTGTAGGTGACTTTCAGTATTCCATTCGCTTTGGCGTCAATTTTCTCAAGTAATGCAGGTGCAGGACAAGGTAAAGTTTCTTTCCACTATAAAAATATAGGCAAATTTTTATGTGAGACCATCTCACGAGTCTTTGTCCATAAAACAGATCGAATCAAGATAAAATGTAATATTTATAAGGAAAAAATATAATACTTTTGAATTCTTGCGCTAATAATGTTGTTTAACCTTCGACAGGTCTCTCACTTGGAGTCCTAAATCTTGCAATTGTCATTCCTCAGGTACTTTTTTGTCATTTCCTCAAGAAATTTTTAGATATAACAATCTTTTTTAAAAAGTAATTTGTTATTAAATAATAGTAAACAACAGATAAAATAACACCCCAAGAAACAGATAAAATAACACAATGTAATTTTTAAAAATTTAATTTTCATCCAATTTTGTACTATTACAATTGAATTTAATTACATTTGTTGAAAACTTGTGTGGTCCATTGAGGTTCATTTGTTATAATTTGGAATCAGATTCTTTGACCCACCTTAGAAAGGCTTGATAATAGCTTTATTCTAATTTCTAGTAGATATATAAAGTCTGCTGTCCCCCATCCCTCAGACAACGTAAATAACATTGTTTTATACTTCTAGAAAATTAAAGTAGCAACTAAAATGTTGGTTTGTGTGCCTTACAACAATACATACTATAAAGGACATCGTTGTCACCATAAAATAAAATGCTAATTTAAGTCTTATCTTCCAAGTCATGTATAGGTGTACTCACTATTCAGTCTGCTCACTTTTGATTTTAGATTGTTTGATGGTACAAAGAGGGGGAGGGGGGGTCATTTTCAAGTTAAAATGTATGGGCTAACATGAATATTTAAGGTTGTTTAACAAAAAGGTATTTCGTAAGTTTAATGTGAGTACATATAGATACTGGTTTAAATACGGAACAGTGTTTCTCGTGTGATCGGTGCAGATTCACCTTCAGGTATACATAAATGCATCACAGTGTTCGGAAATGCACCACAAAACGCAGCACACCTATTGGTGCATCTCCAAACACTTTGTGGTGCATTTATACATACCTAATGGTGAGTGACAGCACAGGAAGCACTGTCTGCATGGGAACTTGACCAGTATATATATATTGTGTGTGTGTATGTGTAATAAACATTTGTGATGCTTTTAATATAATGAGTTATGATGTGGCTTCATTCTCCCCTGTAATTCATGTAAATAAAGTTGTGGCATAGACCCCCCAGCCCGTGCTCCTCACCTCTATCCAAAGGTTTTTGGGTAGTAAATTTGTTCACATGTTTACATTATCTTTTCTAAAATAAGTTATACCTGGAACCACAAGTTTTAACGTTAATTGATGGACATAAATTAAGGGTGTATTTAGTTATATGAATTATTTGCTGGTATTTGTTTGAGTTTAACTAACGTTGTATGAAAATGGAACAGATGTTTGTGTCAGTGGTGGTTGGGCCCTGGGACGCACTGTTCGGCGGCGGCAATTTGCCGGGATTTGTGGCGGCGGCGGTTGCGGCGGCGATAAGCGGAATATTTGCCATCACAATGCTTCCAGCTCCTCCTCCGGATGCTAAGGCTGCAGTACCTGTTGGTGGTTTTCATTAAATGAGAAGCTGGGGAAAAAATTCAATTCCCCTTTTTTTTTTTTTTTTTTTCTTTTTAAACTTTGGTCTTTTTTGTTTTTTGTTTTTTACCCTTAAATAGAGCCTAAGAATATAGGCTCATGAAGTTCCCATAGGCGTCTGATCTGTAGTTGATGCCTATTTGCAAGCTTGTTTATTTAGCTGCTCCTAAGGAATTGTAGTGTGTAAGAAGTGTATTTTATGTCCAGTGAAGAATGAATGAAGATTTCTGTTTAATTTAAGCTAAGGTTTTCATTTTACGTTAAACAAATATGGAAAGAAATAAAATGAAAAGCTCCAAAAAAAAAAAAAAAAAAAAATGAAAGCTAAGATTGAAACCTCCTTGACCAATATGTGGTGTTAGCCGTGATTCTCTCTATCATTTGTTTTCCTATCTCTGGTGCCATGTCAATGAACACTCCTCCCATTGAAGATGTATCTAGAATAGTTTTGGAGTTGGCCATGAGTCCCTCATAAAATGAAGAAATGAAGTTACCGGATCGGAGTAAGTAAATTTCTAGAGCATTGCCTTCTTATTATATCCTTGAACGGCTTCCATGCCTCATATAAGCTTTCATGCATTCTCAAATTAGTGAAAATTATATACTTGCTTCTTGAGCTTGGCGGTCTTAGATCGAGGACAATACTCTTGCATGAACGCCTTGTAAAGTTGATCCCAAGTGGCAAAATGATTATATGAAAATCGGTGGTGTGCATGCATCATATGTATGCATTTTCACGGTTGGTGGTATGCATTTTGGGTGATTTAGAAAAAGAACAAGGTCTTTATGTAAAAAGTGAGGATTGATCATAGCCATCTATTAAGGTGTTGAGGGTTTTAATAAAAAAAAAAAATGCAGGATCAATTTTACAATTATTATAAAATTTTAATTTTGCAATTTGTGTGCAATGTGGCCTCTATAGGTGTACATTTGCACGGTCGGTAGTGTGCATTTTGGATGATTTAGAAGAGGAACAATGTCTTCCAGTAACAAGTGAGGACTAATCATAGCCACCCATCATAATTCATCAATAGTTGAGGGTCTTAATAACAAAGTACATGGTTAATTTTATAATTATTGCAAACTTTTAAGTTGCAATATTTATAAAAGACTGGCATTAAAGTGTGCATTTACACCGTCAGTGGTGTGCATTATGGGTTATTGCCTACTGGTGTGAATTAGAATGGGTAGGCGTAGAGTGTGAGAAAAATTCAGACTCTATCCCTATTTAGACAGGAGAGTAGGTTTTTAGCCAAACAAATTTGTCCTTAAGCTTGATGTTGGGGGATTTGACATGCTAATAAGCAAATTCCTTTTATGCCTTTATGTTTAATCGTAGCCGTTGATTTATTAGTTTCAATGGCTACGATTGTCCATAGTTTTTTACGTGAGAAGTGATTCTTGTGTGAGCATGATGACCCTAGCTATATGTGTGTGCGTGTGTGTGTTAAGTGACACTGTATGGATATGATATATATAAACGGATGTAATATATTAAATTTTCAAATGGATCTAGGCTAAAAATTAAACCTCCAACTTGTATAAGGTAAACCCGCATTTAACACGAATTTTTATCTATTTCCACCTTTTCGAATTAGGTTCCACACTGCTCGGCTATTATTGTCAAAGCGATCGGCCGGTCCCCACTCGGGTTGGCGTCCCCCCCCCCCCGCCCCCCCCCCCCCCGTGAGGTTGGAAAATATGCTTAACATTTTATTTTGTTGTTTTTAAAGGAAAATTTTATAATTAACAATTGAAATCATGATTCATGAATAAACATAAATTTTTTTTTTAAGAATTACAAGAATAAAAAGAAAATAATAATAAATATATTACAAAAATAAAAATTAATAACATATTATATATATTTTCCACGTAGGTGCTTATGTAGAGCTACCTAAAAATGCCAGCAATTGCACCATTTTGTTAAGTTTGATTATTAATTTAGAAAAAAAAAATTGAGTTTAATCCCTTCAAAAAAAAAAAAAAAATTGAGTTTAATGAGCTAACTTTTGTTTTCGTAAAGTTTGATGATCCCCTGTTCATTTAGAGAAACACAATCAATAATCAGCTACAGCAGCATTTCATTTGAACACCTTAGCTTGTTGTTAGTATTAACACTTTAAAGAGTTTTTGTTGTGGTCAAAATTTGGATAAGCATTTCATCTTAGTTGCATTGCTAAATCAATTGGCATGCATACTTGGTAATTATCTTTGTAATGGTAAATAAAGGTTTTATTTTTAGATGAACTTGATTATCAATTTTGGAACTTTTGTTACTTTCTAAGAGTGACTCTCATTTGAGTCTCCCAGATCCTTATCCATAAGATAGTCAAATTAAGATGAAAATATAATATTTATACTATCGCGACCCGTCTCACAAACAAGGATTTGTGAGACTGTCTCATATTTAAACTTTTAAAGAGTGGCATGTTAATTGATTGTTGATATCAGTTTATGTTCTAACTTCATTTGTATATATGATTCTCAAATGATGCATGTATGTTTATTGTCAGACTGCAATATTACGTTGTTCAACAAAAAAAAATAAAAATAACAGAGGATTTTGTGATCACACAAGGAATCTATGCACAAAAATGAAAACATTCGCAGTGAACATAAATCATCAAGCCTTCTAATCCTATCACTCATAAAACCAAAATCAATCATGTTGAATGGCATTATCTAACACTTCAACCCTTGGCAAATGGAAGTGGCCATTAATTTCAGCTTAAACCACCCCATAAAAGGACACCATTAATTTGGAAAGCAAACTAGCAATGTCGATGTTTTTCTTATTCTTCAGAACGGCGGTATGGCAAGTACCTGTGATCCTTGGAAGCATTTTTCCGTCTCTTTTTCTCAATAAATGCCTCAAGCTTTCCAGACTCCTGGTAAACCAAAAACAAGGTTAGTTTCTTCAATTCAATACCATATAGCTGATCAGTGTACACTGGTAATTCAAAAAGGGTGCAGATACCTTGAGTTCCTTGTATTTCTCAATAATTTTACGCTGCCGTACTTCAGCTGCAAGCAAGAAATACCATCAACATAGCTCTTTTTTCGAAATGGATGGGTAAGTAAAGGAACATTGTGTGTCAGAGAACATACATTTTTTAAGATAATAAGGTTGTTTCCCTTGTTTTGCAGCCTCTCTCTGTTTTTTCTTGTGCTCAGATAGAATCACTTTCTCTGTATTCTTTGTCGAAGCAGATTTCAACTGCTTATCCTGGCAGGTAAAAAGTCGAGGAGAGAAAGATGAGACATAAATAAGAGTGTACCAAGAAAACATTATACTCCGTAATTTTTTTTTTGTTACACCAGGATGAACTGTAGAAGGCACCTTTAAGCATGTACCATACTCAGACTAATCCCCGATCACACCGGGCCGGCCCAATTAAGGGACAAAGTGCTGGCCAGATTGGTTTTTCCATACAAGAGGAGATTTGAACTCCCGACCTCTCTCAGAGGATGAGTATAATTGACAAAACTAAAATGCAACTATCTGAGTTAGCACTTACAATCCAAGCTATGCGATTCTTTAGTTCATCGATGACCTGTGGGTCCTTGGTTCTTGTCATCTGTTTCTTTAGATCCTATAAATGACAAAAAATTATAAACAGAAGAAAATCATTTCAACCAACCATGAAATTCCAAGTGAATCAAGTATGAATTGAGGCTGTAGAGCAAAACCAACCTGTTTTTCAGCTGGAAGATCTTTTTCATAAAGAAATTTATATCTCTTCTTGAATCTGAAACATGTAGCGCAAGAGTTTTACAATAACATAAAATTTCATCCTGAAACTAATAAAATATTTTATTTAAAGATGCAACAGCTAGCATATTCAGAGGAATACCATCATGACCTATTACACCTAATTATAGGAAATATTAAAAATATATATATTAGTAATCCCACTAACAGGTGCCACATGCAACATATAAACAGGTGTGTCAATGAAGCAGAAGAGAAGCAAGCTCAACCAAATCTCCACTTAGCCACCCAGGCTGTATTGAAGCAGGCAATAAAATCGGTTGTCAAGAAGCAGCCCAATATAAACACATTTTATTCATTAAACATAAGAAGACCTTTATGTTAGAGAAATAACATTGCACTTAAATAAATGCCTGTGCTATATATCCATCTCATTTTCCCCCAATTTGGCAGTGCTACTCATTTTCCCCCAATAAATAAAATTTTTATCTATTTGACTCATTATTTACTAATAACAACCATTTAGATGCTTTGGAGAACAGGTCTTAAATTTTGAATGAAGCAGGGCAGAGGTGTATAAAATTTGCACCTAAATGAAATATAAACACCTATGGGAACATAAAACAGATAAACAAATACTGGAATACCTAACTTTGGGGAATTAAATACAAATTGTTATTCAAAATAAAAGGCGCAAAACAGTGTATTACAAAGCTTACCCTTCCTCATCAAGCGTGCCACACAATGTCTCAAATCGAGGGTCACGTACAATCTGAATAGGAAATTTTTATCAAGGTGAAACTATTTTCAAGATATACACATGATTAATAGTTCAGACAGCTAGTAGCACAATAAACATTTCGTTGCATTTACTTAAATTATCTGTTTTTCATTTCTCCAGTTTTTTCTATTCTCCATTCTCTACTTTCTATTTTCCAAATGTACAACATAAATGTATTTTTTGTATTCCTTTCTCTAGTTTTTCATCACTCCTATCTCTAGTTTCGCTTTTCCAAATGTACAAAGTAAACGTAGTTTCTATATTCCTTTCTCCAATTTTCAATCTCTCCAGTTAGTAAACGCACCCAAAGTTTTTGAAATTGCAAAATTAATTCCCTTCAACAAATAAGAACCATATCAAATCACTGTCACAGCATGTCAGAATGCATTTCAAAAGGCATGGAAAAAAAGGTTCCGCACGTAAAATCTAAGCAAATAATTGTTATATTATGATCAACTTCATTTAATTGTTAGTATGGATCATAAGTCTTGTCCAAATAATACCTAAAAAATGCAAAGAATAAAGACTAACCCTTTTTGGCACTTGAACAACTTCTCTAAATCTGCTAACTGGCTTCTTACTACTTATCTCCATTGGCCTTGACAAATTTCAGAATTAACAAATTTATCAAAAATAACATTCCAAAACCAACAAATCCAATGAATGGAGAGACAGTGCTTATGTGCATGTGTAACCTGTTTTTGTTAGATCGGCCACCCTTGGTCTCTGCTGTAGGCTTCCTATATAGTACCTCTGACCCATCTGAGCGGGCCTTCTGCAGCTCCTCAAATGTAACTTCTGCAAGCTCTCTCTCTATCTCTTCCTCTACCTGCTCATACATTCAAGGCACATTTTTGTTAAATGTACATACACAAACAAAAGGAGTTTTACAATTACAGTCTAGATTCTTACATCTTCTGAGGAAGAGTCATGCTCATCACTGTCCTCAAATTTAATTTTGCTTGAAGTCGCAACAACCTCCGGCTCCATTGCTTTCTTCATTCTATTACCCGAGATAATTTTTCAGGAATTAACCAGTTTTGTACAGTAGTACTGAAACAGCATTCACAACAGAGTTAGGTTTTGCATCTGGAAGAATGAATGACTCAACAAGTAGGGATCGCTTAATACAGTCAATTTCAAATTGAATTAACTGAAACCAAATTACCAATTTTTCAATTTTCTCAAACCATTAAATAAGCCAAATTTTCTACCTTTAACTTTAACCGAACTGGTATCTTTCATACAACATATCCATAAATCTAATTTATTAATTCATATAAACATCATCCATCAATCCATACAAGCATTCATAAATCTAATTCCTTACAAAAATCACCAATACAACATCAGCTTATATCCATACAAAAAGTCGACCCAAATACTATCCATACATTAATATAGTGCAACTCATAAGATTTGTAGATAACTACATGAGGCTTATGTGCCCCTTTCCTTGAATATATATCACAAAATATTGCAGAACTTATTTTTAAAAAAAAAATTAAAAAAAAAAAAACACACACACACACAACATTGAGACAGAATAAGATTCAGGCTTTTAGTATTATTATTATTACATGGTAAAAATTGAAATCAACGCCCCAGTGGTCCCTGGATGCAGAAATTTTGTTGAACAGGGTCAAAAAGTAAAGAACATCTTTAAAAATCAAAACCGTTCAAATAAAAGGCAGTTCTATTAAAAAACACATTAATCAATTAAATTGGAAAAAAAAATCATCAATTAATCTATTGATGTCAGAGATGACAGAACAACATTTAATCATTCTCAAGGATCCATTTCACTAGTTTTAGTAGAAGAATAAAAGGAATTGGACACAATCAGTAGAAAGCTTATAAGAACAGATTTTTCACTAAAAACAGCTTAAGATTTTCCTTAAAGAACAGCTTATGGAATTGAGGACTATCAGCTGAAAAAATGAACATAATTAAGGCACAGAAATCTTAGAGAACATATTTTTCAACTTACCATAATTCCCTAAATAAAGAACTAAAATTAGAATACTGAAAATTGAACTAAAGTTACCAAAAAATACAAAATTTGTAAATTCTAACCCACTGATTTCTAGAGATTGAAGCTCTAATGAGGACAAAGTGCAAAACTCCACCATCGATCAGAAATCTTGAACTGTCAAATATTAATAATTTTCCTATTCTATTTCTTTCTTGTCTCTTTTTTTCTTTCGTGAATCCAAAAAAAAAAAAAAAAACAAAAACAAAAAAAAAAACAAAAAGAACCAAAAAAAAAAAAAAACACACACACACATTTCATTTAACACTCTATGATGTTATTTATCAATGAAAGATTCAAGTAGAACTACATAGAAACATATCAAAATAGAATAAATACACAATCCACTACACTGTAATGCTGTATTCTACTTAACATTCTTAGGAAAACCCTAAATTCTGCTTCAGAAACACCATTGCCCCAAATCCCCCAATAACCTTCCAAGTTCTAAACATCTATAACCTATAAATTTAAAAATAAAATGCATAATAATTAAAATTCTAACCCAAAGGAAAAAAGCAAGTATACAATTTGCATCTGTATGACTGAAAAACAGTTGCATGTGTGTAAAAGGCACTTTAGTTTATCTATGAATCTATGAATACATAAATCTAGAGGTGAGCAAACAGTCGGTGGGTTACCTAACCAACCGAAAAACCAATTGAAAATTTTAATTAAGAATAACAAATAATTCCACAATTAATAATTAAAAACTCTAATGAGCAATACTACATAATTCCAAATTCAAAATAAATAAGTAGACAAAATGTTTTAAACCCAGTGTCCAGTACATTAATATGTTTTCAATTGAAACTTACAATGATGATAGAAACATTGTCCAGTACCCAGGATTAGAAACAATGTAGAGCTGTCATGAATTTAAACTTACAATGATGATAGTTTTAACAATGATAAAAACTAAAGAAAATGGGGCAAAATCAGTAGTAGCAGGCTAGCAGCAGTCAGCAGAAGCAGAAATAGTAGTAAAGTCAAAAAATTAAAGTAAAGACAAATAATTAAACTAAACATGAATAGAGTCAGAAACTTCATTGTCAAAGACAAATAATTAAACTAACCAAATACTTAAAATTTTACCTTGACTCCTTGAGGACGAATGGACGAGGAAACCGAGGATATGGCGAGTTGCAGTCGCTGAGACCCGTACGGTCGCCGCGGAGTCGCTGACTGGGTCCGACCGTTTGGTGGCAGAGGGCGTGAGGGAGTGATCGGAGTATGCCGAGGGCGGAATCCGGCGGTAGAGTGGAGAAGCAGAGCGTCGAAGACGGAGAGACGGGAGAGTGGAGAAGCTGAGAAACGGAGAAGGGTAGGGCTATTCTCTATTGAGTTCTATTGGGCTATTGCATATTTGGATTGGGCTTAATATTGCTCCGTATTTGTTATGGGCTATTGACACGATTCCAAAACTGTTCATAATTATGAATATATAGTTCAAAAATTATAAATAAATAGTTCTATAATTATGAACATATAGTTTTATAATTATAAATATAGAGATTTAATAATTGTGAATATAAAGTTCAAAAATTATGAATATATAGCTTTATAATTATGAAGATATACTTCAATAATTATAAACATACAGTTCTGTAATTATGAATATAGAGTTCAATAATTATGAATATATAACTTTATAATTATGAATATATAGTTTTATAATTATGAACATATAGTTCAGTAATTATGAACATAGGATGGACACGATTTCATAGTATAACGATTGGACAAACAAGCAGCAGCACTATTGTTTTGGGATATATATATATATACTAGCATTTTGTACGCGCGATGCGCGAAAACTTATGCCCAATATTAAAATATTTGTAAGTAGCAAAATTTAAAAAATTAGTTAAAATTATGTTTTGCAATTTCTTAAAGTGATGATACTTTTGAATTATCATATATTTGAATAATATAGTGATCAAAACAAAATATATATATGACAAGATAATGGTGCTGGCACCCGACCCGGATCATAAGCAGCGCTGACCCGACACCACATGGAATGGTGCTGGCACCCGATCCGGATCATAAGCAACATCTGACCCGACACCACATGGAAACCCAACGGGCAAAACTCCAACGGGCAGAATTCCAAGGGCTGTCACCTTTACTGCCATTGAAGCCACCATTGATGTCACCATTGATGAGAGAGAATTAAAGGCTTAGCTCCCCATTTATGCTTCATGTTGTTACCGTTAGCAGCTTTTGTATAAGTAGGGGCTCCCCTCAGCTTGGAGGGGGACGTTCAATACTCTGGACAAAGACATTGTATTTTCTATACTGAGACAAAAGCAATACAACTATTGTTACTCTCTTATAGTGTTATTATAATATTATTATTACCGGTAACATTATTACCGTCATTGGTGCTTTCATTGAGAGCCTGAGTCCAATACTCAAGCAGGCTACGACACACACAACTCATTCCTCTTTCAACAGCAAGCTTGAAAGTATGGTATCCCGCAGCTCCCATGGTTCCCACAACGTGAACAATGGCAATGCCTCAGGGGACCTCCGAGAACAGCTCAACAACGGGAGGCCCGGGGACCTTCGAGACCAACTCAACAATGGAGGAGTGAACCCAGTCGTGAACCTCCAGGCGACCATTCAACAAGCAGTGACGGCGGCGCTAAACCAAGTGGCGGTGGGACTGCAAGGCCAAGTGCCCCCGCCGCGGCCCCAGGAAATAGGGGTGGAGACCCAAAGAAGTGGACCGGCCAGACGACAACCACGCCCTTCCCAATCTGCACCAGAACGATTGGGACAGAGGGCGCCCGTGCGGCAAAGATTAGGATCACGGGTCGAGGGATCCTCTACCAGAGGTCCTCGCCAACACGAAAACAGAGAAGCCGAGAGATCACCCACAGAGGAGGCGGGCGAGTCTCGGGAGCCGACCCCACGCCAACACGTTGATGAGTCGGCCTTACGTCGACTCTTGGAGGAGCGACGCGTCGAAGAGCCAGCTCGGCGTCGGCACTCGGCGGGGAAGCGACGCGTTGATGAGCGGGGTCCACACCGACACTTGGAGGAGCGGCAGCCGGCCCCGCGCCGGCACCCTGATGAGTCGGCCCTGATCGAGAGGCTGCAGAGAAGAATCGAGGAGTTAGCAAGAAGGGTGGAGGCAAGGGAGCAGTCGCCGGAACCCGAGGTACGGATGGCAGCACCATTCTCCCCAAGCATTATGGACGTACCTTTGCCGAGGGACTTTAGGTTGCCCGCCATCAAGGAGTACATGGGGGTCACTGACCCACGTATCCACATGACGAGGTACAAGGCTGCTATGGTAATGATCGGGGCAGGGGACGCCATCATGTGCCGAGCGTTCTTGTCCACCCTGGATGGAGCGGCCCAAGACTGGTTCAACACCATCCCGGATGGGTCGATTCAAAACTTTTGGGAGTTGTCCAAGAGCTTCCTGACATATTTCTCCGGTAGCATACAACGTAAGAAACCCTTCTCTCACCTCTGTGTAGTGAAGCAAGATAGAGGCGAGAGCCTCAAAAACTTCCTGATAAAATGGAAAAAGGAAGTTAATAATGTCTACGACTTCGACTCCAAGGCGGCGATCACGATATTTATCCATGCCTTAAGATCAGGGTATTTCCACAAGCAGCTGAACGCCCACCACCCCCGCTCTTACGAAGATCTGATAAGGACGGCTAGCCGCTATGCCGAAGCAGAGGACGTCGACAGGAAGAAGAAAGACGAAGAGGATGGTAGGAAAGGTGGGAAGCCTGGGAAAGCGGGTCCGCCAAGCCAGGCACCACTCTCGAACCACCCGACCGCAGGGAAAGGCCGAGACCACAAACGACCTCGCCTGGTCCCCTTGCATAATTTAACTCCTCTTACCCATCCCGTCAGTGTCATTCTAAAGCAAGCTGAGGAGATGGGAATGGTAGAATTCCCCGAGGAGTGCATGAAGGTCTCCCCGAAGGCGGACCAAACAAAGTACTGCAGGTTTCATAGGCAAACCGTCCACGATACGGATGAGTGTCACGTTTTGAAGAGACAAATAGAAGAACTCATCAAGCAGGGCTACTTCCGACATTTCATCAAGCGATCCAAGCAGCAGCAACAGCCGCAACACAATCCACCAAAAAATGTCTGGAGGAATGAGGATGGCACAGAGTCGTCCACCTCGAACGCCAAAAAAAGAGAGAACACGACCAAATATCTGAGCAGAATGATAGCGAGAAAGAAATCGAGGTGGCGCCCAAACGACAAAAGAAGCACATCATACACTTTATCTATGGTGGACCCGCAGGGGGTGACACGCCAGCGGAAAGAAAGAAGTGGAGCCGGCAGCTATACGTGGAAGAAGTGGTGAGTCTTCCTAGAGAAGAGAAACAGAGACAGGAGGCCATCACCTTCTCTAATGATGACCTCCCAGAGGACCCGTTACCCCATCATGACGCCCTGGTGATTGAGATGGACGTCAACAATGTCATTGTCCGCCGCATCTTAGTCGACACGGGAAGCTCAGTCAATGTGATGTATTACGATGCCTTCACCAAGTTAGGGATACCTATGAACCAGCTCAAAGAAGTACGTACCCCACTCTCTGGATTTACGGGTGATTCAGTGGAGACGGAGGGGTTAGTGGTCTTACCAGTGGAGATAGGCACGAGCCCAAACATTCGCAAACTTGACGTGGAATTCATCGTGGTAAGACTCACTTGTGTGCACAACATCATTTTGGGGAGACCGGCACTGGAGGACCTCAAGGCCATACTGTCGGTGGAACACTTGTGTATGAAGTTCCCTACTCCGAGTGGGATAGGAGTCGTCATAGGACACCAGTGAGCAGCACGCAGTTGTTACGTAAAAGCATGCAAAAAGATTGGCGAAAATGACCTACGAGTCCATAGCATCTGCAAGGATGATCGATCGGGTATGAAACTCAGAACATTTAATTAGATATTATAACTAATACTTTGCAGTCGAGGTCCGCCCAAACCTGTAAACAATATTTTGTAATCATGGGCTGCCCAAGTTACTTTGCTGAAATAAAAGGTTCTCAACACCACATTCGATCAACCAAAAGCCGGCCGACGCCGCATTGTAAAAAAAAAAAAAAAAAAAAGACCAAGGCCGAGGCGCACGCCTCGGCCCAGCGCGGGCAGAGGCGATGCCTCGGCCCAAGGCACGACTGAGGCGGCGCCTCAAGCTGAGCCGCAAAAAGGCCTGAGGCGCGCGCCTCGGCCAGCGCCCACGGCTGAGGCGACGCATCGGCCAAACTCGGCTAAGGCTACGCCTCAGCCGAAAAAAAAAAAAAAAAAAAAAAAAAAAAAAAAAACAAACAAACCAAGGCCGAGGCGCACGACTCGGCCCAAGGCACGACTGAGGCGGCGCCTCAAGCCGAGCCGCAATAAGGCCTGAGGCGCGCGCCTCGGTTACTGGCCGAGGCACGCGTCTCGGCCAGCGCCCACGGCTGAGGCGACGCCTCGGCCAAACCCGGCTAAGGCGACGCCTCAGCCGAAGAAAAAAAAAAAAAAAAAAAAAAACCGCCAGGTGCAGGCCTCGGCCTGGCCAAGGCGCAGCACCTCGGCCACCGGCTGAGGCGCACGCCTCGGCCTGGCCGAGGCGCAGCACCTCGGCCTAGGGCCTGAGGCGCATGCCTCGGCCTAGGGCATGAGGCGCACGCCTTGGCCAGGCCGAGGCGCAGCACCTCAGGCGGCGCAGCACCTCGGCCTAGGGCCTGAGGCGCACGCCTCGGTCAGGCTGAGGCCCGCGTCTCTGCCACTGGCCAAGGCGGCGCCTCAGCCTGTCCGTAAAAAAAGAAGAAAAAAAAAAAAAGGCCGGAGCTCGCCTCGACCATGACCGGCCGAGGCGCACGCCTCGGCCACGATCGGTCGAGGCGTCAAGGCGCACGTCTCGGCTACGATCGGGGCGCACCCTCGGCCACGGTTGGTCGAGGCGACGCCTCAACCGCATCGACCAAGGCGACGCCTCGGCCACGATCGACCGAGGCGCACGCCTCGGCCACGATCGACCGAGGCGCACGCCTCGGCCACGAACGATTGGCCGGGGTGCACGCCTCGGCCACGATCGGTCGAGGCAACGCCTCGGCCGTGATCGACGGAGGCACGCACCTCGACCAGCCTAAGCCGCAGCCCGTCTCGGCCAGCATAAAAAAAAAATCATGTGTGATTTGGAAAATAAGATCACATACTCGGGATCAACCGGGATTCTGCACTATATCAAGTAAATTCAGTCTTACTCCCTAGTCAACTCAAACACATCCGTGGACTCAGGAGTAGGTGGGACTGGTGACAGGATAATGGTGCTGGCACCCGACCCGAATCATAAGCAGCTCTGACCCGACACCACATGGAATGGT